CCCTCCCCAGCCCCGTCCCCACCCATGCGCCTCCCGTCTCGCTCCCCGCCATCTTCCCTCCCCAGCCCCATGCGCCTCCCGTCTCGCTCCCCTCCCTTCCTTCCCCTCCTTCTTTCCTTCCCAACCCCGTCCACCTCCACATCCATCCCTCCTCCCTCTTTCCTTCCCAATCCCGTCCACCTCCACCTCCATCTTCCGTCCCCGACAACGTAAGCTTTTCCTCGCTCTCCCGCGGCACTAGCGACTAAACGAGAACCCAAGCATCGGAGATGCTTTTGGGAAAAAACTGGCAGTGCATTATGTACCACATGTTACTGTCGTTGTTCCTCTGGTAGGGCTACTACAGTGTGCTGTAAATGTTGATCAACCAGGTGGACGGGTTCACCCTGGTGCGTAGGGAAGTCTAAGGAGCAACAAAAACGACAAACAAATCCTGACGCAAATCGAAAGAACTGCGCCCAGGCGGTTGCATTGGCTGGATCGAATCTTCCAACCTCGAAGTGCACTTTGAATGATCGCCGCACGGCCTAGGGATGACAAAAGATCATATTTTTTGCTCGGAATAATTTCGGGACACACCATTTTGCAAGTGGCCTCTTCAAGTCTTTCCTTCGTTGCCAGGCCCAAATCAATGGCTTTGGACAGTGATGTGAAGAATGTGTCTCCCATCCTCAAATCGCATATCACAACCATGCGCAACAGAAAATTCGTGGATGACAGCGTGCTTCTCATGAACCCTACATTTGTTCAATGTCGATACTAGGGTATTGTTCCTTTTCGTATCCCCCAACCCGAAAGCACTTTACGTGCTTCTTCTGGAACTGGCCTTCCTAAATGGATACCATGTTGTCTCATGTTTTGTGGTCCTGGGATGATCTCCATTTGGGCCCACCGGTGTCACACATGTTGTCATTGCCATCACATGCCCGTTTCCATGAAACCAGCCGAGCTATGCCAAGCTTCTCAAGGTCAGTTCCATTCATCAAAGCCATTGCTGCAGCATGCACGTCATCTGGTGCATTTACCGGAGGACCTTTCAAATTTCCCACCGCTCCGCAGTCTGTTGTGACGTGCGCATCCTTAAAGAGCGAAGGCTGTACGTTTGTCGGTTGGTTTCAAGACACAATACAGCATGTAATTTCGGTCGATGCTTCAGCTTTGCTTGTCCCAGTGACTGGATTCCAGCTCCTAAGCTCATTGAGGATAAAGTCATTGGCACAAGATGGGCGCCCATTCTCTGCATTGTAGGAACACATCACGCCTTCACAGGATCGAAGAATGCAAAGAAAACCATACACGAAGTTGCTAGATGTTGCTAGTGGCTAGCGCCATGCTGCGCCTGTCGGCTGGGCAGAAAAGGCCAGTTTGTATTGTGCTAAGTATGTGTCAAAGAAGTCATAGGTGGAGATGTTGTACCTTAAGCTGCGCTGATGTTGTAATGTCACTTCACAAGAAACTCGAGTCATCGCACTAAGCACTGGGCGTATCATGGCCCCTGTTTGCCTCTGTCGAATATGCTGTGTAGTGTTTGAGGTATGCCGCTGTCTTCTTATACCCGTTCTCATCGCGCTGTTGCATTCCAGAAACCATGTGGACTGCATAAGTGCCACTGAGAAAGGGATCCTCGCTTGCAAGTTCAGAATTGCGCCCAAAGCGAGGGTCTCGCACGATATTGATGTTCGGTCCAAAGGCTGTCAAGCAAACTGGATTCTTGTGGTCCGGGTGAAATCGGGAGGCTCCGATATTCGACAATGCCCGCTGCTCGGTTCCCATCACATATCCTCTCAATGTGTTTGTCCGGAAAAAGAAACAACACAGTTGAAAGCTGACAGCATGCGAAGTGAATGCTCATAGCCCGGTAGCTAATTTTGTTAGAATTCGAACACTTTGTGTAGTCGTTCAATCTGCTTGTCGTTGAAGGCACCTTCACTCGCTTCATGGACTAGTGTTGTCTTTAAAGCCTAAATACCAAGGTAGTGAGAAAAGCTTTAAGAATGGAGGACTCTATCGACGCATTCGTTGCTTTCTGATGACCTATTTTATCATCGTTTTGATAGCAAAGGACAAACAGCTTGTCACCAAACCTGGCTTTCTCTGCTGGGGCATTGATCGTTCAAGTAGTTAGCCAATTCCCAAAAGTAGAGCGACGCAGGCTGCCTTGTCAGATTCTTTTAAATTTGAAGACTCAGGACAACAACCGTCTTATCTTTGAATAGAATCTGGCGCTTCAAGAAATTGAACAAACCGCGCGCAAGAGCACAGCACCAGCATCTCACTAGGCGATGCTGATCAGTTACAACATGTAACTAGAAAATTGTTTCGTGGAAAAGACCACCGTCGGACACAAGATTTCAGGCA